TAATCCAATTTAACAAGGCAGTGGACGTGAGCAGACACTTCACCAAAGAAGACATTCAGGCGGCCAACAAACACATGAAGAAATGCTCACGGTCATTAGCTACTGTGGTTGTTGTTAAGTGCCGTCAAGTCGGTTCCAACTCATAACGACCCTGTATAGGGTTTCCAAGGAGCAGCTGGTGAGCTTGAACCACCAACCTTTCAGTCCAGCATGAGAGATGCAAATCAAAACAACAATGAGATATCATCTCACCTTAGCATTCATAACAAAGTTCAAACAGAAAACAACAAATGCTGGTGAGAGTGTGGAGAGACAGGGACCCTCCTACCCTGCTGCTGGGACTATAAAATGGTGCAGCCCCCGTGGAAAATGTAGGGCGCTGTCTCCAAATAGAACTAAGGTATGGCCCAGCCATCCCTCTGCTTGTTACATATGCTCAAGAGACACGAGCCATGACACAAATAGATCCATGTACACCCATGTTCATTACAGCACTATTCACAATAGCAAAAAGATGGAGACCATTGAACAGAAGGATTAAACAAACTTGGGCACGTGAACACAATGAAATGCATTGAAGAATAACAAATCTAGGAAACATCTCACAACATGGATGAACCTGGAGGACATTGTTGTTGTTGTTAAGTGCCATCGAGTCGGGTCCGACCCATAGCGACCCTGTACAGGGTTTCCGAGGTTGTAAATCTTTACGGGAGTAGAACGCCTCATCTTTCTCCCGCGGAGCGGCTGGTAGTTTCGAACCGCTGACCTTAAGGTTTGCAGCCCGATTCGTAACCACTACGCTACCAGAGCTCCTTTGGAGGACATTATGCTGAGTGAAATTAGTCACAAAAAGGCAAATATTATATGAGACTAGTATTGTAAAAGAGTTTTTTAAAAAAGGTTTTCATGCGAAAAGAAACATCCATTGATGGCTAGAGGGTTGTTGTTGTCATTGTTAAGTGCCGCTGAGTCAGTTCCGACCCATAGTGACCCTGTATAGATAGGGTTTCCAAGGCTAGAGGGTAGACACGTGTTAACTCTGGCAATGAGAATGGCAATATACCACAAGAGGGAGGTTGGAAAAAGAAAGATTAAAAAATAATAATAATAATCCATGGAGTTGTACAATATAATTGGGTAAATTGTGTGGTTTGTGAATTACATCTCAGCCAAGCTGTGTTTTGTTTTGTTTTTTTAAAAGAAACCCGTCCTTGTTAGCTCCCACCATCCCTACCTCTTTGGCCACTTCTACCCCAACCCTAAGCGACCAGTAATCTACTGTAGTCCCGTAGATTTACCTGTTCTGGACACGGATATGAATGGAATCATATAGGATGCACTCTTGTTTCCACATAGCATAGTGTGCCCGAGGTTCATTAGTACATGGTGTAGTACGTATTCGTTTACTCCTATTTGAGCTTGGATACATCCCACTGTCTAGATGTGCCACATTTTGTCTATTCATTCATCTGTTTACCACTCCTTGGCTATCTTAAATAACACTGTAATACCCATTTGTATACAAATTTTTGCATGACTACAAGCTTTCGTTTCTCTTGAATGTATATGTAGGAATGAAATTATTGGTCAATATGGAAACCCTGTACAGGGTCGCTATGAGTTGGAACCAACTCCATGGCACATAACAACAACAATATGATGAGTCTATGTTTAATCATTCCTGAAACTGTCAGATCATGTTTCAAAGTAACTGCATCATTATGTGAATCCTAATCTCTCCCTATAAAGAGCTCCCTATAAAGAGCTCTGGGAGCGTAGTGGTTACGAAACAGGCTGCTAACCTCAAGTTCAGCAGTTTGAAACTATCAGTGGTTCCGCGAGAGAAAGATGAGGCGTTCTGGTCCCGTAAATATTTACAGCCTCAGAAACCCTGTGCAGGATCACTATGAGTCAGAACTGACTCCACAGTACTTAACAACAATCTCTCCCTATAATCACAAACTTGTTATAACCTAATTTTATATTTTCGCCATCCTAGTGGGTGTGAGGCATCCTGGGATACCACTGGAGGATTATAGCAGGACCGCAAGGCCTGTTTGAACCACAAGGTCAGCAGTGCAAATTCACTAGCTACTCCTTGTTGTTAAGTGCCTTTGAGTCGATTCCGACCCATAGCGACCCTGCATAGGGTTTCCAAGGAGCGACTGGTAAACTTGAACCGTCAACCTTGCCATTCAAATGACTTTGCAGTCTGGTGCATTAACCCACAGCGCCATACCAGGACTCTTAGCTACTCCTTGGACACCCTATAATGGGTTTGTATGGGTCACAGCCAACTTGATGGCACTTAACAACAGTGGGTGTGAAATGGCAGATAATTGGGATTTTATCTGCTTTTTTTCTTGAGTGAACTTTGTTGTTGTTGCTAGGTGCTGTGAGGTTGGTTCCCACTCATAGTGACCCTGTGCACAATAGAATGAACCCCTGCCCAGGCCTGCACCTCCTCACAATTGTTATGTTTGAAAGCATTGTAGCAGCCACTGTGTTAATCTCTCTCATCGGGGTCTCCTTTCTTGTTGTGGCCCCTCCACTTTACCAAGGACTAGTCCCTCCTAATCACGTGATCCAAGTATGTGCGATGAAATCTCACCATCATCACTTCTAAGAGCATTCTGGTTGTACTTCTTTGTTCTACTGGTGGTCCACAGTACTGCCAATATTCTCCTCCAACACCATAATTCAAATGCATCAGTTCATCTCCTTGGTCACTGTCCAACCGTCACGTGCCGTGACTTGGGTCAGATGCACCTTAGTCCTCAAAGTGACATCTTTGCTCTTTAACACTTTAAAGAGATCTTTTTTTATTTTTTTTTATTGTGAATTGAGTGAAAGCTTACAGGGCAGATCATCAGTTTGCATTCAACAAATCATACACCTTGTTTCATTACAATGATTCAATCCCCTCCATGTACCATCAGTTAACAGTATTTCTCTCTATCCACTTTAACTTTTTAAAAAACAAACAAACATAAAAACCACTCAGGTATAAATAATAATTTAAACCACCAAAGTGCACACTATGCAAACCTGCCTCCAGTCCACCAGCTCTCAGTCCCTCTCTTTCCATGAATCTAGAGTCCTTAGCTGCTCCCCCTCTCCATGTCCCCATCTCTGCCTCCATCTCTGGCGCTGCTGCTTCTCTGGATAAGGTCCCGTATTCTTGTATTCTTCTCCCTTGATGGTTCTATGGTCCTCTGTTTCTGGACTGTAAGATTAATTACTCCCCTGTTTTTGTTATAAAACTTCTACCTTTACAATTGTGACAGTCATAGTTAGTCACTATTGAGTCATAAGAATCTTATCCCCATCTCTTTTCACCAGACCCATCTAGACAAGATGAAAACTATTCAGTGGGGACTCTTTCTTCCCCCACACACTCTTAAACTAACTCCCTCCTGAAACCTTGTAAGCCAGTCACTTCATGCCTTTATCGCTCTAAAGAGATCTTTGCAGCAGATTTGCCCAATGCAATAGATCACTGGATTTCTTGGCAAATCAAACTGCTTCTATAGGTGACAAACCAACAGATGGGTGGTGGGAATAAGCTTTAGTCATTTGCAAATTTCAAGGAATTTTCCATTTTCTGTAAGTTATCCAATGTATTTTAATAAAGTTGTTCACCGTATCCTCTTGTTGTTGTTAAGTGCCGTTGAGTCGATTCCATCCCATAGCGACCCCAAATAGGGTTTCCAAGGAGCAGCTGGTGAGCTTGAACCACCAACCTTGCAGTTCCAACAACTTTGCAGTCTGATGCATTAGCCCACAGCGCCACTCCAGGACTCCTCTTGGCATCCTCTTAACATCTGTGGGATCTCTAGTGATGTCACCTCTCTCGTTGATCCTGACAATTGTGTCCTCTCCCTTTCTTTCCCGCTCAGTGTGGCTAAATGTCGATCCATTTTATTGATTTAAAAGAACCAGCTTTTGGTTTCATTTACTTTCTCTGTTATGTTTCTTTGCCCAATTTTATTGATTTCTGTTTTACTATTATTTCCTTTCCTCTTCTTACTTTGAGATTGATTTGATCTTTTTCTTGGTGTTTAAAGCAGGTCAGGTCATTAGTTTGGGACTGTTCATCGTTTCAAAATTAGTTCTATTAATTTTCCTCTAAGGACTGCTTTATCTACAACATGTTGCTTTTTTTTTTTTTTAATCCCATGAAAATACTTCCTCATCTCCCTTTTTGTTTGTTCTTTGAAGTTGGATTCCTTGTTGTAGTTACAGGAGAATGAAACATCCCCTGTACAGTCAGCTGTTTGATTGTCTGGTTCAAAATGGCCAATACCTGTTGCCTGGCTCACCACCATCTTGGTGCCCTCACCCCAGTGCCTGGCAGGAACCTCCAACACAGCAGCCGGATCATAGTCTTGTGCTTTCCTGGGCCTCTGGGGAAGAGGGAGGTGTCCTGGGAGGCCCTGTCTATGGGTTGCTCTGTTAGCTCTTTGTAGAAAGTGTTGAGATAGGTTCAAGAATGCAGGCAGAACTGGGCTGGAAGCTGCAGTTGAAGAGGCTTCACAGTGGCTGGACAGAGTGGGAGGGAACAGGGGGCATCAAGGAGGAGACTCCCCAGGCCTGGATTTGGACAAAGGAGACAGGTCTGAGATGCCTCTGGTTCTGGCTAGAGGGGCTGCACTCTATGACTTGTGTGTTGTGTGGCTGATGCCCCACCACGGGGCCCTGCATGAGGCCCACATTCCCAGGGCATCAAAGGTGACTTCCTTATGTATGGGGAAGGCAGAGGAAGTAATGGTTCAGCTCTGACTGGAGGCTCCAGGAAACACCTGCTGGCTGTCAGGGGTGGGCTTGCAGCCAGCAGGGAGATCAGACCCAGGACCTGAGGACAGGGTGATCTGTTTGGGATCGAGCTGGACAAGTCAGCCGGGAGGAGAGGCCCCTGATCTCTGCTGTTTTCAGGAAGGTTTCTATCCCTGGTGGTCTCGGAGGTCTAACGGAGTCTGGCCATGTTTTGTTAGCAGACTGGAAGAAGCGCTTCATCGGCATACGGATGAGGACCATAACATCCAGGTCAGTGTCTGGAGGGAGACCCTGCACCCCTCAGGCTACCCCACACCCCAGCCCCACCATGCCGGCTGCTTGTGGGTCCTCAGAGGGGCAGGCCTGCGAGTCCAGGACACCAGTCCCCTTCTCTGCCTGGGGGTTCTTTCCTTCATAGCCCCGGAACTCCATTCAGGCACCCTCTCCTCCAGGAAGCCACCTGGATTTATCCTGAGGCTCATAACAAATTATCCAACATGGGAGGGGGAGCCACAGTGGGTTAAGTGTTGAGTTGTGAACTGAAACCTTAGAGGTTCAAACCCACCAGCTGGAGAAAGAGGAGGCTGATTGCTCTTGTGAAGCTGTGTCATCTCAGAAGCCTTCAGGAGCAGTTTGAGTCTGTGCTATATAGAGTTGGTATGAGTCAGAATCAACTCCAGGGCAGTGGGCTTGGTTTGGGGTGGGGGGGTGTACTCACTCAGTCTGGAGACTAGGAGTCTGAAACCAAGGATCTGCAGGGCTGGGCTCCCTCGGACGCTCTAGGGGAGGATTCTGGAGGCCCAGCCATTCCTGGGCTTGTGGCCATGTCCCTCCAATTCCAGCCTCTATCACCATGTGGCTGTCTCCCCTCTATTTTGTATCCAAACAGATGCCTTTCTCTTAGAGATCCCAGCCATTGGGTGTAGGGTCCTCCTTAGCCCAGGAGAATTTTCTCTCAGTATCCTTCCTTCACTAATTACTTCACAAAGACTAGAAAGAGCTCATCTAAGGTTCTGGGAAGACATGAATTTGGAGGGTACTCTTTAGCTCAGTGTATCTTCCAAGTCATCCCATTTTCTCTCCTTGCCATTGCCTGGGTCCTTCTGTGGGAGGCTCCTGTTTGTGGGGTCCATATCCCCCTCTAACCCTGAGCTCCTGGACAGCTTGTCCCTCTGCTCTGCCCTTGGTACAGTGCCTGCTGCAGAGTGGGCACTCAGGTTGGTGTTGTAGTTAACTCCAAGTGTTTGAACTAGGCAGAGTCATTGCGTTGGGGAGCTCAGGGGAGAACTGAGGCAGGTTCAGTTGACAGAACTCTCAAACACATGCTGTTCTGTGCCATAAAGTCAATTTCAACTCCTCTCCACCATCTACAGCCGAGTAAACCTTCCCCATAGGGTTTCCCAGGCTGAAATTTGTATAGGGGCAGGCCATCACGTCTTTCTCCCATGGAGTGGCTGGTGGGTTCGAACCACTGATCTTTCAGTTAGCAGTTGAGCCTTAACCATTGCAGCACAAACCTACACAACACTGTCATCCTGGGGGTTGACATCCCCATCCCCCACGGACCTTCTCCCATGACAGACCAGACGGAATCCTCAGTGATGCTCATTGTCAAATTTCATCGTAGAGTAGACCTATAGTTGTAACTTGCTTAAATAAAATGCCTCTTAGATTTTATGAACACTAACAATGAAGTTGTTTTGTAAAATCTTTCTACGTCGACTTAATAGTAATTATAAGTAATTGTGTGAAAGCCATTTTTAATTTTTCTCCTTTTCCTTTAACAATGACTTCATTCTCCAAAAAAATCATGGCTCTAGGTTCCATCCTGTTTTCAAACACCTGTCCATCCAATCATCCATGTAGTCACCCCTCCATCCATTCAGTTATATATCTGTTCATCCATTCATGCATCTAGTTACCCATCCATCCATCCATTCATCCATCTAGTAACCCATCCATATATCCAGTCATCCATCTAGTAATCCATCCATTCATCCATCTAGTAACCCATCCATATATACAATCATCCATCTAGTAATCCATCCATTCATCCATCTAGTAACCCATCCATATATCCAATCATCCATCTAGTAATCCATCCATACATCCAAGCATCCATCTAGTAACCCATCCATACATCCAATCATCCATCTAGTAACCCATCCATCCATCTAATAATCCATCCATACATCCAACCATCCATCTAGCCATTCAACATCTAACCACCATTATCCATTGATTCCCCATCCATCCTGTATTCAAACACCTATCCATCCATCTACCACCCACCCACTATCCATTCCCCATTCATCCTCTATGCAAACATCCATTCACCCACCATTCATCTGTTCATGCACTCAATCGTTCCTCCATCCAGCCATCCACCCATCATTCATCCACCATCACTCTATCCATCCACCCACCATCCATACATACAAACCCTTCAATCATCCATCTATCCATCCACCATCCATTCCCCATTCATCCTCTATTCAAACATCCATATGCCTAGTCTCTAGATTGGAATAAATCCCGGTGTTGTCTCAGGGAGTGCTGGTGAGCCACTATAGGATAAGCACTAGACTGATAACTGCGAGGTTGATGGTTCAGACTCACCAGCCACTCCTCGGAAACCTTAGACAAGGTCACTATAAGTCGGAACCAACTCGATGGCACTTAACAATAGCAACATTAAAAGGAGTGTGATGGCTCCATATGATAAGCACTGGACTGCAAACCACAAGGTCGGTCAGTGGTTTCAGCCATCAGCCGCCCCATGGGAGAAGGATGAGGCTTTCTGCTCCCCCCACGATTTAAAGGCTCAGAAGCCCTATACAGGGTCGTTATGAGTCAGAACTGACTCAATGCCACTTTAAACAATAACCACATAGTAACTGACCCTCAGACTCACAGTCTGGGCAGGGGGGCTACCAACAAGCAAACAGCCATGACAATTACATGTCATCCTCAGAGTGACACTGTGGAAAAGTCCAGAAAGCACCAGGCTCCCTGCTCTCACAGGGGGAGAGGAGGCAGCAGTCTGGGAAGACTTCCTGTAAGAAGACAGCCCAGTTCCTGGACATGTGGTCTTCCTTCCCCTGCCCCCACTAGGTTTTTCTTAAGGAGCCACTGACTAAGGGGGCAGGCAGACACCAGTGACAACCCTGAGTGGTCAGTGGCTGGACAGGGCACTGGTAGCCAGAGAGAGAGCTCCACATCTGTCCTGAGAGGCAGAGGGAAGGGGTAGTTTTGTCCCTTGGAGCCGGTTCAGGAACGCAGAGATTGGCCCCTAACAGGTGAACTGTCTTTCAGCTTGGTGGAAGAACTGAAGGCTAGTAATCCGGACTTCCCAGAGGTCAGCAGTGGGATCTACGTGCAAGAGGTTATTCCAAACTCACCTTCTCAGAGGTAGGCTCTGTCCAGGGGTGGCAGGGAGGTGGATGGGAGATGGGGGGGGAGGGGGTCTGCTGCACTGCCCTGGCCAAGTCTGTGGTTAGCATTGGGCATCCTGGCAAGGTGAGACAACGGGACAGGTGGAAGCTGGGGGAGACTGCAGAATGCCCTTTCCTGGGAGGGAGAGGAGTGGAGGCGGAAACATGCCTCTTGTCTCTCCCCAATTCTGTGACTGACTGGGCCTCAGTCTCCCCACCTGTCAAATGGGTATAACCCAACCTGTTCTTTCAACCCAGGGACAGGATGTTAAGAGCAAATGAAAGAAAGCATTGTTGTCTTTCAATGTACTGCATAGAGAACGAGTACTTTCTGCACCATTGTTAAGGCATTTGCTGTGGTACAGATACAATGTAACCATGTGTTGGATGGCTCCCTGAGAAAGACTAAACAAATCTCTCCCCTCTACTTTGGCCTCACAGTTGCTGGGTGGTTCAGACAGTGAATGTGCTCAGTTGGAGGTTTGAGTCCACTCAGAAGACCTGTCAATTACTTAAAAAAAAACTCAGCCACTGAATTCCTGTGGAGCACCCATGGGGTTCACTCAGAGGCTCCTGGTTTAGGTTTTTGGTTTAAGACCTTACAGTCAGGGCACAGGTTTTCTGGGGGTTGGGGACGGGGGCTTCAAATTGTTGATATAAGCCCTTCAAAGGCCCTGGCTGGGGTGACCGAGTATCTCCCCTGTTGGCAGAGGTGGCATTCAAGATGGCGACCTCATCGTCAAGGTCAATGGGCGCCGTCTGGTGGACTCCAGCGAGCTGCAGGAGGCTGTGCTGACGGAATCCCCGCTGCTCCTGGAGGTGCGCAGGGGCAACGAGGATCTGCTCTTCAGTATCGAGCCTGAGGTGGTCCTGTGAGGTGGTCGTGATGGAGGATGGATGGATGCACAGAGGGGGGTGTGCAGTAGACCAGCCTGAGGTGCTGACCTGACGAAACAGAGCCATAGCCCAATCCCCAGGACCAGAGGCCAGGCATGTCCACTCCCTGCCCTATGCCTTGAGGCTGACCCTATGCAGATGATACAGGGGGTGGGGGGAGCAGCCAAGGTCATGGGTGTCCAGAGATGACATCTGAGGTTCCTGGAGAAGCCCAGCTCTCCCTTCCCCTTCTCTGTCCCTGCTGGTCCCTCTCTCTGAAATGCCCACCTGGCCCTCCTACACTGTCCCCTATTCAGCCTTCAGGTTCCACACCCAAGCCCTTTCCCCAGGAAAGCCTTCCTGGTCCACAGCCCTACCATGTTTTATGACCAGTGCTGTCCACCCCACTGCCAGGAGCCTTGTGGGCAGTAGACACCAGCTTGCCCTGCCATGTTTTTCCCCCACTCAGGAGGGCATCGTTTCAGAGGGGACCCAGGACCTGCCAGGAGAGGGCCCCATGCAAGGACTGAGCCGGCTGCAACCCCACACCATGCTGCCCTGGGCAGAGCAGATGACCCTCAGGGGACAGAGCCTCCTCTCACTGGGGACACATATTCCAAAGTATATTGTGAGCTTCCCTGTAAAATCAAGTCACACATTGCTTGTACTGTAAGTTTTTCTACTGTATGGAAATTAAAGTTTACGCAAAGGAGTCCGGACCTCCTACTGGCTGCCAATCCCCTCCCCACAGACCCACACTGAACACTCTAAATACCTAAATCAGCGTCTTCTAGTGGGCAGTGTGAAACAGCTCTCAGTCTGTCCCTCCCAGAGTTCACTCACCCCCCTGGACAGACACAGAATCCCACCCACCGTGTCTTGACCATTCGGAGTTGGAGTCTGAAGGATGTTGGGGGACAGACGGCCAGGGCAAGGGCCACTGGTGCGTGGGTCCTGGGAAACGCGTGGAGGGAGGAGTGGGGGAGCATGATGAGTGACGGTGGGGTGCAGTGGGGTGGGGGTGAGGGTAAGAGGTACCGTAGAAACAACAGCCCCACCACAGGGTCACTGGAGGGTATTATGGAACCATGTCTGAGGTGCCTGTTTATAAAAGAAGCCCACTCTCATCCCTCCAACCCGCCCCTAGGCAGCCCCCACCCTCAGCTCCGTCTTCCGGATAATTCCCTGTGGGTACAGCGGTCTCAGATTTGGATGACGAAGCTCTGGATCTGTCTGGACCGAGAGCCCACGTCCTCCCGGGGACCACGATCTCAGGCCACGCCCTCCAGCCACGCCCACCCGTTCCCCGGATGGAGCAGGGGCTGTGGGGTTTGGACACCAAGCATGCATCCCGCATCTGCGCTTGCGCAGTGATCAGCCACACCTCTGAGTCTCAATGCTGGTGTGGGAGGTAGAGTTCACAACGTTTCCTTAGCCACTAGGTTCTTCTGGAAGGAGGTGCTGGGGCAGGGGGCAGGGGGCAGGCGGTGAATGTGGACGGTGACTGAGGCAGGGGGCAGAGAGCCTACCGGGGGTCCACAGTTGTCCTATGAGGACCCTCAGATTGAGCCGTAGAGGGACTCCTGCAGCTATAGCGGGTGGAACTGGGGGCACTCCCACACTGCCCAGACCTGGACTCTCCTAGTGACGTCCAATACAACACCCCAAAAACTACGCTTGGCTCCTCAACTGTCTTCCTCCCTGAGACCCGGACCCGGGGAGGGAGGGGACTTTCTGTGGGTGCAGACCTCCATCACCACTGTTTTTTCAAAGGAGCAGGTTTGGGGGGGCAGGAATGAGCGTGGGGGTAACGACTCGAGCCTCCAGAACGGGAATCAGGGGGAGCCCCAATCCTGTCGGCATCCCATTGGGGTACCTTCTGGTCCATCACCTCCCCTTCCCCCCTCAGGCTGCCCATCTGAGAGATGGGGGGTGGGCACTGGGGTCTCTGCTCTGTGACTTCTGCAAACCCGGGGTACCCCCTCTCGAGAGGAGGGACAGCGGCTGTCTGCTGGCCCTTAGCTGATGCCCACCCGGAGGGCCCTTTAGTGCTGGGCGTGGGTTCAGCCAGGGTCAAGGCCTACCCTCGGGCAGCCACGGGCTCTGACACCTCTGCCTCTCCAGGCCTGGCAGCCAGCCCCCTGGCTACTCCCCAGCTGCGCGCTCGCTCCGTGAAAAACAAGTTTTCCCGGAGCTGGAGCCACCAGCTGCCCGCCCTTGTGCAATCATCCACTCTGACGCAACGCGGGCAGCTGGGGTGGCCACCTGCCCGTGCCTGTGCGCGGTCCTGCGACGCCGTACGCCGTAAAAACACGGATGCTCATGTTGCTCCCCCATCCCCCGCCCTTCCCTGTGCCCTGCCAGAGTCTGCCCAGCCCCCACCGTGCAGACCTCCACCACCTGCTCCTTGGAATTTTCCCTCACCATCCCATCCTCCGGACCGGACACCGCACCTCCCCAGGGCAGGGGTCCTTGAGCACATGCAACCCCTGATATGCAGGCCGTGGGGACATCAATAGGCCAGCGCAGGGGAAGACACCCATTCATGCACTCCCTCCTCAAACCCCTTCCCCCCACCCCCAACTTCTCCTCACACTGAGGACTCTGGGCCTGGGGAATGGGAGGCACACTCCGCATCACCAGGAGGAATGCTTAATGGGCAGTGGGACACATCTGGGTGCTGGACCCGGTGGTCCCAGTACTCATTGGGCCACTATCTCCAGCAGTGGAGACTCGGCAGCAGGGCCTGGGCAGACATAGCAGATCCTGAGTAGTGCTAACGGGTAGCAATCTCTGCTTCTAACCACCCAGAGATGCCTGGGAGAGAAAGGCCTGCAGAGCTACTTGTCAAAGATTAACCAGTACAACCAGTATGGAGCCCAGCGCTACGCTGACACGCTCTCAATCAGCTCCTTGGCACCTGGCAGGGATGGTGCTGGAGCTCCGGGGGCTTGTGTGTCCCTGCACTGACTCCGTGGCCTCAGTCCCTCCATCCTCCGACATGCCACCTTCACTTCCTGACTCCCCCTCACCTCCCTGGGAGTCCTTAACCTCAGTTCACCCGGGCTCAGCAGACACATGTGGCTCCTACTAGGCCTTGGGCAGCAGCAGGAACACTGGAGTACCCCCAGGTGGCTCTCCTGGCTCTCTGTGCTGTCAGAGCTGGGGGCCTGGTGGGAGGTATGTCCTCAGGGGCTTCTGAACAAACAGCTGCAGCCAGCAAGCACAGGTTCAGGACAGCACCACAGGCCCGGGTCCAGATGCCCACTCTACAGAGGCAGAAAGTGATCCCCAGAGTGGGACAGCCATGTTCCAGGTCACAGGGGACTGACATCAGGAACACTATTCCAACCCTGCCTAGACCAGGCAAGAGTAATCAACTGTGGCCCCCACTGCCTTGGACGCTGCAGGTTAATGCAATGGATGGTCAGGTCTATACGAACCTCAATGTCAGCAGTTCAAGCTCACCAGCTACTCCTCAGAAAACCCTATACAGGGTCTCTATGAGTCAGAACTGACTCGACAGCACTTAACAACAACCACTGCAGTAAGTACAATCACCCATGCCCATTCTGGGGCTGGATCAAGGTCACCAGCAGAGGTTCATGGGATGACAGGCCTGCAGTCACAACACCGTCTTTCCATGATATTCATGGCATGCATGATGCACACAGTCCACATGGGTGCATGCACTGCACACATGAGTATGCACACACAGCATGCACATGGCCCACACAGGTGCACACATAGCCCACACAAGTGTACACACCGCTCACACATGTGCACACACACAGCCAACACGAGTGCACACACACAGCCAACATGAGTGTACACACAGCTCACACGAGTTCACACACGGCCCACAGGAGTGCACACACCACCCACACATGTGCACACATGGCCCACACGAGTGCACACACCGCCCACACAAGTGCACACACACAGCCCACACAAGTGCACACACAGCCAACATGAGTGCACACACAGCTCACATGAGTGCACACACACGTGTTCACAGCCCACAGACCGCCCAGCTCTGGAGTGGACATTATTGAGTGTGGGCCCGGCGTGTCCTGTGGGCCTTGCTCCTCATGGTCGTGGTGTTGTTTCCAGAGGGCTTCTGAGCCCCGTGGGGTGGTTGTGCTGTGTCTACAGGGTTTCCAGATGGACTCAGAGGCACAACAGTGTGGATTAGCGTCCAGGTAACTGTGTCGACCTGGTCCAACCTCCCTTCAAATTCATGTGCATGTGTACTCAGACAGACTCCTATGCCCACCACACACACACACAGCCCCCATGTACACACACACTGAGGTCCAGATTTGTTGATTATAGCAAGAGTGGCGAACCTTTTTTCTGCCAAAATTCATAACATCTTTGACAGGCCACACAAAACTATTAAATTAAAAATTAGCCTGTTACATTTGGTCAAACATGTAATATTTATTAACTCACCCCTAACGTGATGGCTGGAGTCCTGGTGTGGCACTATGGGTAAAATGTGCTTGACTGCAAGGCTGGTTTGGACTGCAAGGTCGGCAGTTCAAGCTCATCAGACACTCCTCAGAAACAATATACAGGGTTGCTATGAGTCGGAACCAATCTGACAACACTTATCAACAACGTGTCCAGGAGTTCTGTTAGCATAGTGGTTACGAGTCGGGCTGCTAACCTCAAGGTTAGCAGTTCAAAACTACCAGCTGTTACACAGGAGAAAGATGAGGCTTTCTGTTTCCATAAAAATTTACAGCCTCAGAAAGCCTATGCAGGGTCACTGTGAGTTGGTACTGACTCCATGGCACACCACCACCACCAATGCCCTGGTGTGGCATTGTGGGTTAATGCTCTGGACTGCAAGGTTGGCAGGAATGGATTGCGAGCAGTCATCTTGGTTATCCCTGGGGTGCGGGCAGCTCATAGTGTCGGCATGTGAACAAAGCCCCTCAGTGTGTAGGAAAGGAGAGTGAGAAAAGCGGGTGGAGGGACAGCGTGGGTGGCAG